TATCTTATTCCTTTCTTAAAGCACTATCTTCACTTACATTGCTGTAAAAGTTATAGTTAAAGCATCGTGACAGAGTTGCTGCGGTTGAGCAGTCTGTGAAGAGCTTCAGGAGTTTTGCTGAATCTCATCTTGAGATAAAAGTTTGGGGAGGATGGAGGGGACTCTTTCCTTACGTAACTCTCATTCCAGGTACCCCATTTGGTTTGTTAACTGCTGCCTTTGTGATACCTGCCTGGGTATCAGACCTAAGGGTGGCGCATTTGAAAGGAGAATGTAGGAAAATATTCCACCACTTAAATTGGTGGGCATCCTGGGATATAGACCCGTACCTTCAGTTTTACGGCACCAATGACATTTCTTGTAAGACTGTTTTAGAGTCTGACAGGCTTCGCTGTCGGGAAGCTTCCTAAAAAACAGATTTTCCCCCGCCCCCCCCTTGGTTATATCCTATTACAGACCCAAATTGTTTCTCCTAATAAAACATAGCACAGGGTTGACATTAAAGCTAGCTAAATTACATTTTCCTTCACTCTTTCTTCTTAATTACCCCAGTCTCAGTACTCTGAAGTTGCATCCTGTCACCAAATTTAGAGCTCTGTGTTTCAGTGAAGTGCTGTCGACAGGAGAAGCGCATTTAGCAAGTGCAGAAAGCAGCATGCTAGTAGCATCATGTAGATTGGAAATTTCTTATCCTAGTTTCTCATCTTGTAGCTAGTTCCATATGGACAGCTTTAATGCATTTTGATTTAGTGAATTGTAACAAATGCTGAATTCTGATTTCTGTAACCACTGCGTCAGGAGTCTAACAGACTTCTTGCTGGTGTGAATGCTGCTGCATCCATGTGAATGCTCATAACACTGTGCTGGAAAAGCTGTTCTTCATCTTCGTGAAACCTGAGAGCCAGGGTTCAGCAGAGTTAGGTTTAAAGGACCTGGTATGACCCCATGGGCTCCCAGAGTTTAACCTCACATCTTCTCAAATTCACTATCTGAAGTCGCACTTGCAGATTAAATCCATTCAGTGAACTAGCTTGGATAGAGCGTGGTTATAAATCCTTTGTCTTATCTGGATCAGGTATATATCCCTCAGTGAAGTGGCATAAATGAATATTTACTTAGGAAGCAGATGTAGCCAGTTAACTTTATTCTGTCAATTTATCTAATTTATCTTAAATCAATCTAGCTTTTATGTATGAAGTAAAAACCTTTTAATTTTGCAAATAATATTTTGTCATCTCAATTAATTTGCTTTGTTATTTTGTCTGAGATTTTTTTAGTCCATATTTTAAAAAATAAATCAAGTGGCTCTTTTACTGAGAATATATTAGTGGTGCCTTTACTGAATCTGCAATATTCTGTAAGCTAATGTAGAAGGGCAGCAGGCTGGTAGCAATGAACTGCACATGTATGCTGTGTAGCCCAAACACTGAGGTTGTCATCAGATCTGTTGCTCCATCAAGATTTTGTGTTTTAAAGGACAGAATAAAGGATGACTTTGTGTCCATATGGATTCCATGGAGGAAGTCAGAAGGAGCTGAGTCTTCCAGTGATGAGAAAAAGGGAAGAAAACCATGTAAACTCCCCATTGTAGCACTCTGCCTGGGGCATTCTGTCCAGTGTGGCAGACCGCGAGAAGGGCTCCTGGGCTGTCACTCGCTGCAGCTCTCAAGGTTTGAGGTGAGGTGCTTGAAGCCTATGCTTGCAATAGGAAAGAGCGTCTGCTGAGTAGAACTTCAGGGAATAAAGAACTCGAAGTACAGCGCCTAGAAGCACCTCCTGTGGCAGCCTCTTCGCTGCCCATCAGAAGCAGGAAGGTGTTTCTTCTGGGTGTATCAATGCAATAGAAAATTGCAGACGGAGTAAAGCTTCCTTATTCCCAGCTTTCAGCCCAGGTAATTTACTGTCCTCTGGGGGAACGGAGAAGTTAGATTTTCACCAGGGAGCGGCAGTTCCCTCCTTGTGGCTTTTTGCAGCACCGAGACGATGCTCTGCAGCGAGGGAGGGTCGGAGGCAGTGACTGCAGTGGGGCTCCGGCACCCGCTCGCAGCGCAGGACACAGCTGAGGTGTTGCCTGAGGCAGGACTGCACTTCTGCTCTTCTCTGCAGTCATCCAAGTCGGTGTAACCCCAGTGTCCTGTCCTGGTGGAAATCATTGCAGAGGCAGAGCCTGCCGTGACTAGGTCTGGTATGTTCTGCTGAGCCTTAAGGAATGTGGATTAGTTTACTTCCAAAAAAGATTACCTTGGTATGTATACAAAAGACAAAGTAGAGTATGGCTGGCTGAGGATGATCCCCAGTGGAAATACACAGGTTGTAGAAGCCAAGTGTGATGTCTCGTCTCTGCTCTTTAATCTCGTGTCTCCTCACATGATTAGTGTAGTAATTGTGGGGATTTTCAGGTTGCTAATGAAGCAGGGGTATCTTTTACACCACGGGAAGTGAGACACCACTTCGGCTATTAAATAGAAATTTCACAAACCTCAACCAGGTGTAATGAAATTGTTCAATTTAACAATTTTCTCCTTATCTGAGTGTGGTTATTGTTACAGCTCTGTGTTACTTTTAACATTGCAGCAATCTTTTTTCAGCAGTAGGAGGGGGTTCGAACATAGTGTTTTCTTTCTCTTACAAGGCTGGGAATTCCCCTTCTCGTGTCCTAACCCAATCCTTCTATGTATCGCTTGCAGTACCATAGAAGAGGATAGCAGATAGTAATAGGCAGAGAGTTATTGCACTTAGCTTCTGGCTACTAGCTGTCAGATGCCCTTGCTCTGACTGGTGAGTGATTACCAGATAGTTTGGCACCGGATTGGTGCCACACTTAATTGTGACTGATGCATTGGGCTGAAATATGTCACTAATTTAATTCAGCTATTTCATCCAGCTGTTAGAGGTGTATGAAAAAAAACATACCTGATACACGAGGCAAGAGCAGTAACCTCTGCATTAAACTATAAACCAGTCATTAGGACATCTAATGCTGAAATTGAATTGCTCCATAGAAATTTGGTTTCCAAGCACAATACTAATTAGCTGTAAGCTTGATGAATGTCAAGAATTAATTAAAACATTTCAGTGGCCTGTGTGCATTTTAAATATTGTCATTATTGCCCCAATATTTTCAGTTCTTACACTAATTGCTTTTTAGAGAGCATGAATGGAATTATCTTCTGGAGTGACTGAGGGTACAAACGGTTCATTACATCATTGAAAATGGACCTCCTGCTCTGGATTTCCCTTTTTTCTTTCCTAAAATTTATCTACTGTTTTTCTTCCACTTTTGTGCATGCATTGCAAATAGAAAGGTAAGATCAGTCATTTTAGACCCAAACTTTATTTTGACAGCACTTCTAGTTTTTCTTCCTTAGCTGTGCTCTGGAAGCCAGCACATCATTGTTACCTACTTTCGTTTTGGCAACAGGAAAATAGCTACAGCTCCATCAAATAATCTTTTGGTTTAAATTAAATAGGATGTCAGCCAAACTCCATGATTATTTTGTCCTGTTAATGAAAGGCCTGCAACAGTTTAAACATTTGCTACATGAAACGTCTGCAAGATAAAAAACATGTTGGGAAATTATGAATTGAAAGGGAATTCATAATCAAAATCAGCTTTTGGTTGTTTCTTGAAGATGATCTTAATGTAAAAACAGTTAAATTGTTGGTGCGGGAGTTGGAGATGCATAGTGTAGACTGCTCATATTCCTTGTCTCTGATGAGGGTCTCCACATGGTTGGCTACATAGCAAGGGTGAATGTCCAACATGCCATGTTACAGACTGCGGACATATGTATGACAAATACATGAGGTGATGTGACACGGGAGGAGTCTTAACACTTGGAGGGCTTGTAGGGAGGCTCCTCAGAGTGTTGAGCAATGCCAGAAACCACAAACGCCCAGGCTACAGCTTGGTGCCATGCCCTGTTGCTTGCTTCATGTGCAATCACATATGACAGGCCTCAGGGCCGGTTCCTTGGGACCACAGGGGGAGGAGGATGGGGACGTTTCACCACATGTCTGCTGCTGAGGTGGGGAGGATTGAGAGGATCTCTGCATGGATGTGATGAATCCAGCATCCATGCGTGAGCTCAGTGGCGGTGTTTTCCGTAGCAGTCAGTTTGGATCTCAGCGGTTCAGATTCAGGACCTTTTGCAGAAGGTTAGGTTAGTTTTTACCTGGAGACTTGTTTGTAGAAATAAGCCTGTGCTTGATTTTTTTGTTTGTTTGTTTTTATGAGGAGGTTACATGGTTACTGTGTGATAATAGCATTCAGTTCAGTATGGTGGCTCAGAAGTTGAGAAAATGCTTGTTCATTATCTCTTCTTTCAAGGCTTTACTTCAATAATTAATTATGCAGTAACCCTTCCCCTAGTGAGAAATGCATTCAGTATAGTACTTCTTAAAATAAACTATTTTTGGCTAGTAATCTCAGTGCTGATTGCCTGGAGGCATAACACAAATATATCCTGAAGAAAACAGCTATTTGGATTGACAGTGCTGTAAGAAGCTCAATTCCAGGTTACTTGATTCTGTCTCTCCCATTCCCAGTTTTCCTGCCCAAGGGTATAACATTTCACTCTCGCCTGTGAAACAAGTGGCAATAAACGTGCATCAATATATGTGTAAGTCACATTTTTTAATGAAGGTATGATCCGTTTAATGCCTGGAGAAGATGATTGTGGTGTCCTTGGAAGGGCATCATGTAGAACCCTGGGGCAACCACATGCTCGAGAAAGCAGATCTGGGGGATGTTTCAGACAGTGACAGCCCAGTAGCTCATGATCAATCTGCTTCATTGTTGTATCTCCAAAAGGACAGCAGAGCTCCTAGCTTTTGTGCCTGTATAAAACACTGAGCCCACTGAAATCCGTTGGAAATTAGGCAGATGTTAAAGATAGGCAAATGGTTTGTGTTACAAACTGAATGCAGAAGGAAATCCATAAAACACCTCTCTCAAAGGTATACCTGACTCTTTCTTTCTCTCCTCTTTTCTTACACAGTGCCGGTCCTAAAGGAGATAACATTTATGAATGGAGATCTACTATACTCGGACCTCCAGGTTCTGTATATGAAGGAGGTGTTTTTTTCCTGGATATCACATTTTCATCTGACTATCCATTCAAGCCACCAAAGGTAAGGGTAAGGTTTTTATTGTATTTATAATTTTTTCACATGAGAAGAGTGTAACTTGCAGTGAGTGCTCATTGCTTTCTGAATATCAAATTTGTTTATGATCTCTTGAAAACTACAAGTCCAAAATCTTGGCTCGCGGTTTCAGAAAATTCCTGTGTCTAATTTATTTCATGATTACCACAGTCAATACTGATTTCCGAGCTTTATGAAGTGATAAATGAGATGATAATTCTGATCAAGAGTTAAGATTCAAGAAATCTTAATTTTAACAGAAAACAGCACAAGACCTTCTTATGCTTCCATCTCCTCAATTCAGCTACTAAAATACATGTATAATAAACTGGTTTTTGTCATGAACCAGATTCTATATTATATATTTTCACCTATTTTTTAGCAAAATAACAGAAAGCTAAAATAAGTTTAGACAACTAGAGTGATATATTGTGACTTCAAATTGGGTAAATTATTGTGATGATTTCCATTATTGTAAAATGTCAATCTATTTACTACCAGTAAGATCAGCAACCTTGTTTGATAATATTTTTAAGCAAAACTCTTTTTATTAAATTAAACTAATCTAAACTTAAAATTTCATTCCTTGCTCAGAAGTAGTATGGACACTTAAGAAATTATAATTTACTAACAGATATCCAAGAAGTTAAAGGTTGTTCCCTTCTTCTCTCCCTCAATGCCAAATTACAACTCTTGACCAAATCACCAGAAAGGACACTGCTGACATTCGCAGAGACTTAAATACATTCTACCACACAACACTTCTATGACTTATGACTCCTGTGGCTATAATGTTGTTGTTATAAATCAAATACCTTTTCTCATTCCCAGGGGGATTACAGCATAAAGAATAATATAATCTCTATGTTTCACACTTCTCTGAAACCCACAAAATTTAATATTCTCTGAGTTAAGATTGTTATAATGAAGTGATGAAGAGTTTTAGACAAATTCTTCATTAAAATCTTGTAGATTTTTTTTTAGAGCAAAATAATTTTTGAATTTTCAGTAGTTTCAGAAAACATGATGGATTTTTTCCCCCCTGCATCAGTATGAAAAAGTAAATTTTCCTCAACTTCTTGTGCTTTATGTAGTTAAAGCATTTGACGATTTCTAACTGCTTATTTGTGCAGAGTAATGCTTGCATGCTCTACCAATATTAGTCTGAAATAATTTAAAACCAAGGATGGTGTTAGTGTGATAGCATTGTTTTGGCTGTATATCATGTCCTGCCTAATGAACGGTAACGCAAAGATTCTATTGCTAATTTGAACAAGAATAATACAGTACTCCAGTTTTAAATATTAATTTTCATGGTCTATATCTAGGGTTTTGAAAGAAAGGATCAACTAACACTGCACATGCAGCCAAATTCTGTCTACTTCTTCACCTTCAGAAACCACAGTAAAGTTACATTTGTGATGAGATCATTCTTGACATGTAATATGTTCATTAAATAGCGTACAGGACCACAAAACAGGTTCTATTTCTTGTGGGTACCAGACAGCGCCTGTATGAAAGCAGGTTATGCACCAAAGGTCTCCATGGTAGATTTCTTAAAGGTCGCCATGACTACAGTAAATACACACACTTCTGTTAAATAATTGTGTTTTTAAAAAATGAGCAGAGAGGAGCTGCCTCCACAGAAGCTCTGCAGAACTGGGAGAGCCCCCAGGTGCTGCTGCTGCTCAGCGACAAAGGGGCAGCATCCCTGGGCAACGCTGGGTGACTGACTCTGTCTCTTATGCTCCGATTCTAGGTTACTTTCCGTACCAGAATTTATCACTGCAACATCAACAGTCAGGGCGTCATCTGTTTGGATATCCTGAAAGACAACTGGAGCCCTGCTTTGACTATTTCAAAGGTTCTGCTGTCTATTTGTTCTCTTCTGACAGACTGCAACCCAGGTAAGGAGCTGATTGTTTACTAAGAGTCCACTCTTAGTCGTTTGACTTAGTTGCCATGGAATATAATTTTTATATTCTATTGTATGCAGATCAAATAAAAACTAATATTTTAAAAATTGGGGGTGAAACATTCCTGCTTGGATGCAGTCCCTCGTTTAATGGCACTTTTTGCTCCCGTGGCACAACAGAAAGTCAATAGCATTAAGCCCTTTTTTTCCCAAGGTATGGTGGAGCACATCAGCTGATGTAATTGAAGGTCTGTATTGCAGGAGCTCCAGCAAGTGAGTGGTTGATCCAGGAAAGCAATAAAGTTCTCTTGAGTTATAAACTCATAAATCCTGCAGGTCAGAAGGGGCTGCAGGAAGTCCCTTCTCTTAAGACAGCAACTGAAACGTTTAATCTTGTGAATGTGAGAAGGATGATGCTCAGAGATTTTTCCCTTTTTCAAAGAGAGTTCCTTGTGCCCGTTGGGAGGGGAGGAACTCCACTGGAAGCAGTACAGTTTCTCAGCAACAACTGTGTGGCCGATGTCATTAGGCACTGAATGCTAATTGCCTGCAGTCAGGGCAGGAGCTGAGGAGTAGTGCTAAGATGAGAGTTCATTTACAGAAGACTAGTAATGATCAGGGAGAAATAGATTATCCTCCTTGATACAAAAGTTTGATGACTCTTGAAGCATCCTGTATCCCCCTCAGTGCGTGTCCTACAGTCCTGATACCCTAATGTACCCTAGTCTTGTCCAGCCCTGTGGCAGGAGTGTGCATGTGTCCCGCACCCGGCAGCCCTTCCAAAAGGGTGAAAGCAGGGCACCTGGCTGGGGCAAGAGTCATTAGTGTGCAGGTAACCTCCACAGATTTTTCTGCTTTCTTTTTCTGTCCATTATGCCTTGTGTGCTTTCTCTTGGAAATGTCTTGTATAATAGGAGCCCCACTATGCCTCACAGCATTTTCTCGCCTGACAAAGACTGTATTTTGGAATAGATTCTGTGTTTTAAATCACGTATGTGTTTGGTTTGGGGTTTTTTTAAGTTGTAGAATGGTTTCTAATGCATCTTCCCCTGCCTTTTGCAGCTGACCCTCTGGTTGGAAGCATAGCCACTCAGTACCTGACCAACAGAGCAGAACATGACAGGATAGCCAGACAGTGGACCAAGAGATATGCAACATAAATGACAAACTGCTTGTGCAGTGTGAAGGTGCAGAAGGCAGCTTTGCAGTGTGCAACAAATCTTTATAGCCTTTACAATACGGACTTCTGTGTATATGTTATACTGATTCTACTCTGCTTTTATCCTTTTGAAGACTGGGATACTGCCCCCCAAAAAGGTAAATGCTATCAGGAGTAGAAATTTGTAGCTGTAGATTAGTTATGTTTAAAATGCCTACTTGCAAGTCTTGCTTCTTTGGGATATCAAAATGTATTTTGTGATGTACTAAGGATACTGTTCCTGAAGTCAACCAAATATTATAGTGCATTTTAGCCTAATTCATTATCTGTATGAAGTTATTAAAGGTAGCTGTAGATTACTAGGAATTATGTCATTTGTATTAAACCCAGATCTATTTCCAATATGTGGTACATGCTGTTGTGAAAACTGTTTTAACTTTTACCTTTGTCAGTTTGTAATGAAAGGATTTCCTTTTTCCCTTTGTAGCTCAGAGAGCACCCAGTGTATCATCTCAAACACAATAAACATGTTCCCCAAGGAGTAGTTTCTTTGTTTTCCTATTTTAAATTAATATTTGAATAAATTTAATTATAGTAACAAGGCAGGGCCAATGTATCACAGATCCCTGTGGATAATCTTTAAATTAATATACATAAGCAAAAGCTTGATATTAAATGCTTAATGCACACCTGTGGATTGTTTAAGTTTTCCCTGTTTTGTTTTTAACAGAACAAATGTCATTTCTACAATTTCCTTAAATTGAATACTGTTCGACTCTTTCTCAAGTTGGAATGAGAGCATTGCGTACGCTTACTCCAGAAGTTCATGTAGCTGGTTGCTTCAGGGCCAGTCCTGCTCTCGTAACAGACTGCCCGAGTCTTGCTACTGATTTTTTTTGCAGGACAAGGGCCAAGTTAGAGATAGTCTGGTGCTTTTATTTCCAAGTAAAGCAAGTCGGACTTGCTGATCTAGAGAACTACAGTTACCCATTGAAAATGGTTTTTCAAAGCATGATTGAACACTATATCATCTGTCCAGAAAAGAAAGTAGTAGAAAAAATTTAATCAGATTTTTATGGCATAAAAACAGCTGTGGGGGAAATGAACCTTTGTTAGTGAAAATGAAATCTGTAAAACTTTTAGACTATGTTTCCCCCGCCTTCACTTTCTGGCTTGGAAATTTTGTAACATCTGTAAGTAACAAAGATATACAGCTTTATAGTACGTACAGTTTAAAAAGTAGAGTCACTAATAGTTTTATAATTTAAGCTTTTATAGGTTGCCAGTCACAGTATTGATTATAAAAAAGAGACTTGATCCCTCTAAATGATTTTTTAAATTACACTTAATTTTAAACTTTACAGTCCCCCTTGCTACCTGGTGTTTTTGGAGATAATGTAGCACTTCCACCAATAAGATGCTCTGCTCATTTAATATATGAAAACTGAATGTTAAGTTTAAATATTAAAGCAATAGAAAAAATGTTAAAGATTTAGATCTAAAGTTAGCCATCACTCTATAGGTCCCTGTTTTTTGTATCACATAACCTTTAACCATGAATTGTCCACCCTACTTTAAATATTTCTACAGATTCCTGAAGGTGGCTTGAAGAACTCTGTATCCCAAATATCTCAACCTAGAAGCCAGTCTCTCTTGGTAGCTACAAGATAGCTTTAGAGTTCAGGTTATAAAGTGCAAAAGGGAATGAGAAACAGGGGATCTGGCAGGTGAATATGCCTAAGTCAGGTAACAGACTAATGCCAGGAGATGAAGTGCTGGAAATCACTGCTGAAGGTGACCAGAGTTTCTCACTATGTCATTGGACGTGTGAGAAATAGCACAGATTGGCAAAGAAACAAGGGGCTATCACATCCGGGCTGGACGTCTAAAGTCTGCTCACTGCTGACCGTTAGCGCACTCGTGGGTGACGCGGTGCTCGTACACCACTCCAGTGACTTTCCAGTGAAGAACAAACTATGTATTTCACACGTTAACTGTGTTGCCTACAGAATTTGCTGATAGTTATATCATAAAATTTTATGGTATAAAAATACAGGTTTTAATTCTGATTTTAATGTATTTTGGTTTTGTATTGTACCTACGACTTCAGATACCTAGGTGTACAAGTGGGATGCCTTGTTAGTGTTGCCCCCCTCTTGCCTTCCTTGCAATTGGATCCTTTACACTGAATTCCCATCTTTTTTTTTTTCTTTTTGTTGGTTTGTCATGATTCTGTTCTTTTTTAATGTAGTTTTTTTGTGTGTAAATTTTATATTTACTGAAGTAAAGGTTGTTTTGTGTAAACATTTAAACTTTAAAAAAAGAAAAGAAGCTAATTTTGTTTCTCAAGTTCTCTCTGCTAAACCATGCAGTAGAAAGAAATTTGTATTGTTAAATAAATCAATTAGTTGTTAAATGAGAATGTGTGTCTGTTTTCATGGGAAGGGTAGAAATCCTTGCTGGAAATATATCCAAAATACCAGTTGCAAGAGCATCTGGTGTTTTCAAACTATTTCCTTCCTGGCTCTGCTGGGGTGAATACCGGACACTACCAAAGGACAGCACTGATCCTATTTTACAGTTTTAGTTTTCAGTTCCATCTTACTGCAAATCACTGGGCTCCGTATTTGGGAAAAAGTGAACTGAAACGATGTTTTTGTGCAAAGACCAGCCAAAGATACCATATATCCCATCTTTCTCTCCGTTTGGATGGGCTTCTCTTGTTCTGTTGTCTTTGGGATTCGAGTGGGGAACACACGCAGCTGGCTGGGAAGGTGCCCGAAATGGGCTTCCTGACCTCCCGGCACAAGGCGCGCTCGCATTGGACACCCGGCTGTCCCAGCCTTTGGGCTGTGACACTGCTGAGGAGAAGAGAGGGCCAAAGCAAATGGGCAAATGCAGTCACATCTCTGCTTTTCAGCTGGGGTGGTGGCTGCGTTCGGAGCAAAGACTTTGTCATATCAAATGAGAAGGGCTGAGTGAATATAAGTGTATTTATTAAATACAATGGAAAGGCAAATATATATCAGCCTTGGTATTCCTGTACTAACATGTTCTTGGTGAGGTGCTTCATGTTCTGTGATGTCTTAGTGATGTGTGGGGCACCTGATGTGGAGATGGTCTCGCTTACTGATCAGTGTTGACTAGTGATAGTTCAGAATCTTACAGACAAGTCACATGGGGCTAGAAAGCAAGACTGCAGGGTAGCCTGAGCCACGGGCCAGGCTTGCACAGCCTCATAAGGAAAGCAGGAAATGAACCAGGTCTGGTTCATGCTCTGCTCCCTCCCTGCCTCTTGGGGGAAAAGGAAACTCTGCCATGCTTTGCTGCACAGCAGTTCCTGCTCTGTACCAGCTAATTTGTGGCCATGGGTATTGCAGAAAGTGAGACCAAGCTTCTCCCTTTCTTCACTTTCCTGTGTGGGAACCAGATCGGTGGCCCAGCAGCAGCATCCCCACGTGCAGGGACCACGACAGAGAGCTGCAGGGCTCGGGCCAAGGGGCTTCGCACCGGCTGGGCCCAGCTCTGAGCCGCGGGGAGCCCCAGCTGCCCCCTCACCGCTGCTGCCGCGGCTTCCCCGCAGCCCTGCCCGCGGCACCGCAGCGCTGCAGGGGAGGAAGCTGGAGTCCGCAGCAGCTTCTACATCGATCTCGTGGGCTTCTGCCCCTGGGGTTTCATCTGTGTGGGCACAGATGGCAAAGGAAGAACTCCTGACTGTAGGCTGAAGAGTGCGTTTCGTCTTTGCTGCATTTTCTTCGGGAAAACTCAGTACTGGATATTTACGTGAAAGAATGAAGGCCTGCGCAGGAATCCTGAACTAAAACAGCTTCAAAGGACAGTGACAGTAGCGTGACTAAAATGAGATTTGATTCAGCCATAAACCAGCATCGTATTTCTGCAGCCCATGCTATGGCCAGGGAAACAGATGCATTTGAGAACTTGGTGCTGCTTCGTGTGCAGTATCCCTTCAGCCTCTGCATGGTGGCACCGCTCGCGTTTGTATTGCGTGGTAGCTTCTAAGGCTGCACCGCCTTGGAACCAGCTCCCACTGCCTCACTAACCACCCCAACTGAAGGCGGCAGGAGAGGATCCCAAGGCAGCAGGAGAGATTGTGTAATAGAGCACTTGTTTTAAAGGGAGAAGTGAGACGACAGCATGGCTGCTTGTACGGCTGCCTGAGCTTGCTGATGTCGATGTTAATTGGACACGTTCAGCTGTAGCTTAGGTGGAAGAACAGAAAATGCACCTGGAAGATAATTGCTGGAACTTTTTCAGTACTTAGGGGCTTTTGCTTTTTTATCCTTAAAGAGGGAAACCTGCTTCAGCTTGCCTTCCGCCACCTCTGCACACGTGTCTCTCTGGAGTGCAGTTGTGACTACCTCTGTTGCTGGGTAGAACAGAAAGCATCCGACATACTAGCAACAATTTGGGGGAATCCTTAAAAATCAAACCTGCCAGGAATAGATAGAATAAGAGGCATAGTATGAAAAACACATATCTTATTGCCTCGTGGTGACTATGTCTGAGCACAGGCTCTGCATCTGTAGGGATGTAAGATGTGGTGGGACTGTGTGCATGGATAACGAATGCACGTAGCTGTCTCTCATCATTGCTACTGTTCTTCTGCAGGTAAGGTGCGGACAGCCCCATCTGTTCATCTCCTGTTTCCAAGAATTGCAAAGCATTTTGTAACTTTGTTGTCCAATATAAACATCTATTTGAACCATCCTAAATTGTTACCATCCGCAACATCCTTTGACAGTAAATGCTACAGTTTAATTACAGACTGTGGAAAAATACTTTGTTTGTTATGTGATTATTTCATGTAACCTGCTATGTGAACACTTCATTTTATGTCTCCCAGTTTTGTACTGTGAGAAATACTGAATAATTACATCTGTTCTCCTCCTTAATCCCATTTATGGTTTTATGTACCATTATTATCAGCCCCTAATAACCTCTTTTTCCAGGCTGGGAAGGCCTCATTTGTTTAATCTCTCCCTCTATGGAAGATACTCTGATTATCCTGGTCACCCTTGTCTGTACATTTTGTAAATCCGCTCCAGCTAATGTAAAGGAATGAGAGCTGTGCGCTGTATGCAAAGGGTGAACTCACAATTCACCTGGAATAACGTTTTCTGGTTTGATCTGCTTGCCCAGTAATTCGTAGCAGTCTGCCTTTTTGACTGTTGCTTAGTGCTTAGCTAATGTCTTTGTTAAACTGCATTCAGAGATGCTGGAAACTCTTTTCTGAGCAATAGCTAATTTAACCTTTTCTGTAGGTCTAACAAATTTGTCTTTCCCAATATCCACTGCCTTGTACTTATCATCACCAAATTCATCTGTGATCTTATCTTCCCGTTTCCAGTATCATGAAATCCTTGATGACTCTTGGCAGTCAATTTTAGTTTAGTCTGCCTTGAATATTGACTCTGTGCGTGTGCTGCGTGCACCAGGGGTGGGAGGTAACAACAAAAGTAATAGCAAAGTGCACTGGACAGGTCTGTCTGCCAAGGGGTGATGGGTCCCCAAGGACGAATT